TTCTTAAAGAGACAGAAGCCAATTTCAAAGAGTCAAATTTCCCTTAAATTGTTTTTGATATACACACAATTTATAAAACACCTTAAGTTACTCGATTGTGCTATTAAATGACCCATGTGCCTGGAGAATAACATCCCATTAATCTGCGGACTCAAACTAACTAAAGACAGATATGAAGTAAGGTTCACAGTAAGGTAAAGTATTTTACATTTCTTTTCTCTGCATGTTTCAGCAGCAGTGAGGAAGCAACACAAATATTTGCCTTTCACAGATTTGTCTTTGAGTAAGATAAGGTGAGCAAATCTGCGTCTACATGAACAAATTATATTCATCCGCTTTTTGTTTGTCCTTTTCTAGTATCCGAGCTCAATCTGTTCTTTTATAGAGAAAGTAACCAAGGCAGCATGAATATTCATGACAACCCATGCTAAATTTTCTGCCGTTTTAAGTGGCCTTCTCACATTTTGTAATCTTACTCAATATTTCAAAAGCATTTCAAAACATTTCCTTCACCGCCTGCTGTGCTCCAAATCTAGCCAATATCAATGCGACGGTTTTTAGTTTGAATTTTTTTCCAGCCTATCTCCACAGATGCAACTCCTAAATCCAAATTCAGTTCTGCGGTGCTACAAAAACTGAGAAACTTGGATGTTTTTCTGGCCGCTCAGATGATATTTAGTGTCTCTCCTGTTTGCAGCATAAACAGTGGAAACTCGTTACGGTTTGGACAGAAAACATACGGGGGCGTCCTGGAGTGTCTGGCACCGCAACATGAACGTTATCTCCTCTGGTCTCTGGGAGTTTTAGGTCGGGAATTTTTTATTTTGGGAACTGCGCCTTCAACACACGACTGGCATTTGACCCCATCGAGATTGCCTCTGTGGAGTTTAGGTGCAGATTGTTCTTTCAGCCACTTCTCACCAATTTGTGTGATTTTTCGCTGCTGTCCCGCTGAGTGGTTGTGAGTTGCTGCTGTCGCGTCACCGTGTGGGAATTTGGTTGCTCTTCAAATATTTTTAGGAAATAAATGTGTTTTTTGGGGTGGGGAGGTTTAAATGCCATGGAAAAGATTGAGCTCTATGAAGATCAGCAGCATGAAGATATAACTGCTTAGCTGTGTGTGTGTGTGTGTGTGTGTGTGTGTGTGTGTGGGTGTGTGTGTGTGTGTGTGTGTGTGTGTGTGTGTGTGTGTGTGCGTGTGTGTGTGTGTGTGTGTGTGAGACAGATGTGGATATGTCTGCCAAATGTGGGTAGAGATTTCTTTCTTAAAGTGACAGGCTGTCAAAGAAATGCATTTCAAAAATAGAAAATGAGAGAGAGAAAATAAAATGGACGTCATATTGCATGAGAGACAACTTTATTAGCTGGAATTTGTTTGACTTGTTTATGTTCTTGTTAGACAACCAAATTTACTTATGAACCTGAGCTTCATACCTAAACAAAATTAAAACAAAAATTCAGCTTTAAAGATCCAGCGTAGCTTTCGAACAAAAATATGAAACATGTGGCTTCAAATCTTTCCTGTAAACTGCTTAACATTTTTGGCTTAGCCGAGTTGATATGGATATGAAGAATTTCAACCCAGACGTTGCCACATAATAAATAAAAAGTCCAGAGGAGAGAAGGCAACTCAATAAACATGAATAGACATGGCACATGGTGAAGATTAAAATAAACTGAGGCAAAAAAATTATAAATAGAGGTTTAATTATTTAACTTGAGCACAAAAGGTGAGGGGATTTTAATTTGGTTGATTATTTCTCTCTTGGAACAACACAGATTTGGGAATGGAGCTTGAGAATCGGAAAGGGTGTTACAGATTTGTAAGAGAATGCCTTTTTATGTCGAGCAGCAGAGTCGATTGTGTCCGACTCCTCTCTTCAGAAGCCAAGCAGCTGTTGGCTGCTTGGCCAACAGCCCCCCACAAGGTTTGTTATCACTAGAGGAAATCTCAAAACAGCATCGAAATGAGATTCAGGAACTATTGGCAGACATCGTCTTACCAACGGAGCAAACTCTGTCATCCAAACCAGGGTTAATAGCAGAATAATCTGTTTGGCATAAGCACAGGATTGGATTGTTCTTTCACTCGGCCCACAAATGCATTTTCATCGAAGCGTGGCACCATCCAAATAAAAAAAAGGAGAAAGCGTTCTAACAGGATAGCACTTGCTCCCAATAGGTATTGCCACAGCAAAGAAACAATCAATAAATTGCATATTTTCCTAAACTTCTTGCAAAAATTAGCATGGAAATAATCTGGATTAATAGTTAATTTCAACTGGTTGGTTTTTCAACAGAGCATGTGTTCAGATATTAAAAAGGCCCATTCAAAAGCTAAATGTTAGCCGAGTTTAACAGTTCTAAGACCAGATTGTTTGTTTGGGATTATTGGTATGTTGGAAGACCTAAATGTGATCAAGTTTTAACAAATATTGTACAAAATGTCATTGTCAGATAAAATAAATGGTAAAAAGTAAATAAATAACAATAATAATAATACAATAAATTATCCAGAAAACGTGGAGCACCACACAAGCTCAAGTTTGTCATAATCTGCAAGCAGAAGAGAAACAACCTTTATGTTGCCATGGAGTGAGAGAATAACCCCTGCACCAAAGAGGGTTGATAGAACTGAGCTTCTAGAGAAAGGTTTTATGACCAAAGACTAAGAATGAGCGACCAGGCCTGTAGGGGGGAAGTGAATGTCCGCAAAGCTCAATGCGATTCTTTTAAATCGAAGAATACAGTACCGTCATGCACGATGTCGGCCTCATGCTGTGGGACTGTTTTGTCCTCAGTGGTTACAGAAAGTGGCTGGACTCATCTTTATCTTTAAATCCTGTTGGACATCAAGACTAGACTGTATAAATGTTGCCTCAACATGGCTGTTTTAGTAGGACAATGATCCCAAATGAGTCAAAATGAGTTTAGGAATGGCTAAAACAGGCCACATCAAGCCCTGACCTCAACTTTGTTGGAAATTTGAAGGACATAAACGCGAGGTGTGTCAAAACTTGTAAAAACGCTATCAATACCGCTGGAAACGGGGCTCAAATATCCAGCTAGAGCCATAAACAAAGTTTGTTGATGGAAACCAAAAGGATGCTAAGGAATATTTAATCGAATAGTACCAAGAGTGAATGTGAATACTCTTGCTTTATGGATGTTTCTTTTGCTAATTTGACCATTTATCTTTGGTGAGGTCTTTGAGGTTGAAAGACCTCCTTGCCATCACCCTAATCTGTAGCGTCGTCTACAGATTCTCCAGCTGATTCGTGTTGGGACTCTGCCCATACATTGACACGAAGAGTGCCCTAAAGGCCTGCAGGATGCTTCACGTTGGTACTGCTTCAACAGAAACATGTTGGCACTTTTAAAAAGATTACCTCCACCCTCAATCTGGCTGGAGTCGAAACAAACACAGACTCATCTGTGTGGATTAAAGACCACTTGTTCTCAAGAAATGTTTGAAGTTGAGTTTTCATTCCAACCTGTCGGCCAAAATTGTTTATGTAAATCAGTAAAAGCTCAAAACGAAGACAATATTTACAACCGTGATGATTGTCTGTTAACTTCTGACCAGATTAAGAGGAAAACCAACAGATCACACAAAATGATTCCTTATTATTCACCAAAGCAGACAAAACTTCAAGATGAGTCATAGTCTACATCAGAGAAAAACATCCCGCAGTCCCCAGACTCGAGTCGCCAAGCACCACCTGACATTTAGGGCTCACTCTATGCGACGAGGCAGAGGTTTGTCTTGAACAGGTCCGAGTGAACGAAAGGTTTAATCTTGTTTCTCATTCCGTCATGACATTATTGACATCAACAGCAGCTTCATTTAAATATAAACGTTGTGCAGGCAACAGAAGACGAGTGATAGAAAAGACAGCCGGCAGTCGGTTCTTCTTGTGCTTTGATGTTTGAGTAACTCTGTTGCCGCACGATGAAAAGCTCGAATTGGCTTTTAGAAGGCATATGCTCGAGGTTTTCTCGTCTACGGATTCGAGAAGGTAAAGGAAAAAGGTCGGCGTGTGCAGTCAGTGTTTGAAATCATTAAAAAAACATTAAGTCCTTATTTCTTATTAGCCTGACACAAATGAGATTTGCGAGGTTTTCCGTCATAAAAGGAAAAAAAGACGACGTCTAAGTCTTTCTGGTCGCTTCTATTCAGACAGACACTAATTTATCATTTTTATGTGCTGTACAGGAGGCCTAATGTAATAACCTGGACTAAAATGATGGTAATCACCGACTACCTGGCTACATAAATCATCACCTCACAGCTTTTTAGCACATTAAGTTCCCGAAACCCAAACCACATTAATCCACCTCGATCGAGTTACACTGAAGGTCTACATACGTTTTGAAACCAACGTTTCACAGCTTAAATAAAAGACGTGACACTGGCTCTCATCAAGAGAAATTATACCTGCTGATGCAGATTCAGTGGGACTCCACTCCACTACTCTATCGTGGAATATAAACATGTTGCAGACTGTTTTGCATCGTCGTATTGCTGTCAAATGTGTCCTGACAATCCTCACTTAAAGGGATAGCTTGGGTGCCTTGAAATAACGCGAGGTTGTTGTCCACAGCAGTTTCTTTCCCTACTGAACAAAGATTTATTGTAAAAAATTTGAGGCAGTTCGGGAAGGAAAGGCAAAAATAATAGTAATAAAGCGGCCGCGCTTCACTAACTGATGACCTTCCTTTGCGATGAAGAATCCAGTTTTCAACAAAGTTGTTGCAATTTGACGTTTTTCTATCGCAGGGAAGGAAACTGTTACAAATGACAACACAGCTTGGCTGGTTCTGGATGAGAACCATGAGCTCAAACTAAAATCAATTCTTGTCCGAGGGATACAACACGGTACTAGCGGTTATCAACCAAAGTTGGTGCTGTTTTCTTAGGCAATGCCGTTGTTACTCCAGACACTGACATAAAGCTGAGACTGTTGTGATATACAGTAGTTGCACAAAACAGCCAAACGCCATTTTTCCCTCTGCAGACAAAAAAAGCAAACGGCCAGTACGCAGCTGGTGAGATGGGAAAGTTTATGCGAACGTAGCTTTAGCGTCATTACACAGAAGATGTTCAGCTAATTAAACAGCAACCAACCGCCTCCTAAAAAAAATATACATATACAATATCCACTAATCTCGTGCTGTATCCTGTAGAAATGTTATTTTTGGTTTGAGCCGTTTTAAATTGGTAACCACGGCGGAAACGGGTCAGATTAGCTGCGAGCCTTTTGTTACTTTTAGGATTTCTTCACAATATGACAAGAGGTGTGCAGTTAGCGCATCGTTTGTCTTTCACCATGATGAATTATTTGTAAGAATCTTGATTTGTTGTCGTGACAAATTCCAATTTATGATGCTTGAGAAAAAACCCCAAAGCTGTCTCTATTGTCAGATTGTTAATTTTACTATTTTCTATACTGTTTGTCTGATGAGTGTCAACAAATGTCAATAAATTTGAAAAATCGATGTGTCGTGCAGTCACAGCTACGCAGTGACCTGTAATATCTTGCATCGTTATCACAATGACATCACAAAAGATTGTGATATTTAAGTCCATGTCACCCACCAGCAGAAACGACAAGGGTAAGCGCCAAACTATCCCTTTAAATGCAAACACGCCTTCTTTTTTTTTTCATGGAAGAACATTGTATGAGTTTTTACACCATCAAACACTAACTGCATTCTTCAAATATGGCTGTGCAAACTGAGTCCATCTAGCAAGACTGAACCTCAATTTGAGGCTGCACCGACTGCCTCTTAGGACACAGTATCTTTGAGAAAGCTCTCCGGAAGCTGCTGTGGCACAAAGGGTACAGGAACGGATTGATGGCCGAGTTCAGCCACAGGAGCCAAAACGTGATCTCATACCAGTAGTGCGCCACACATTCGCCGCCACAGGCGGCACGGATGATCATGAGCAGAGTGTACGGAGCCCAGCATATCCCAAAAATACAGACGATGATAGCCAACGACTTGGCGATCTTTTTGTCTCGGGAAAGGCGGGATCCGGGAGTTCTCCGGCCCGGCGCCATGCAGGAAGCAGTGTGCTGAAACAGCCTGGAGTTTTTCCGCTGAGGAGAGAACTTCTCCCTCTGCACAAAAATCTGACTCGTGTCAGGGCAGCCGCTGGAGGACGGGGACAGAATGTCATCGTCCTCTATGACCGCCGAGATAGCAGCAGGCTCGCTGGAGGTCACCTTCCGAGTCTTGACGAAAAACACGGACCAGGCCCCCGCGCCGTCTCTGTACTTCCTGGGTTTCCTCTGCGGCTTGGCCTCGTCCTCGGCACCGCCGTTCCCGCACTTGTTCCTCCGGTGGATGTTCAAGTAGATGCTGAGGTTGAAGAAGGCCACCGACACGAACGGCGTGAAGAACTCGAAGGTCGAAGCGCTGAGCAGGAAGTACCAAGTGAAATAAAACTCTGCGTAGCACTCGTGGTCCGGGACCACGCTCTGGCCCACGATGGCCTCCCAGAAGATGATCGCGGGGCCGTAGAGGAGGAACGCCAGCAGCCAGACCGCCACCATCTTCAGCACCGCCTGGTGGGTGATGTTCCTCTGCGCTCTGTATTTAACCTGCAAGGAGAGGAGAGGCGCAAAGTGTGATTCACCAACGATGCCATCACAACACAAACTCTGCTCCATAATACATGTGTTTCTGTGACGAACAATCAGGCACAGCTGCTTCGGCGGCAACAGCCTGAAAAAAACTAAACAAAAACAACAAAAACGCTGCTTTCTTCTCCTTCAGGATGGAGCCCTTAATGTTGTTCTGGTAGGGCAACGGGGTAGATGCTGTAAATAAAACCCACTCATGACGCACTTACTCCACGGTGTGTCACTGAAGCCAAACAGAGCAGGGCAATGTTGGGCTGAGAGCCACATTCACTGATGCAACATGACTGTGAAAGAGACATCTGGTTTCCCCTTGCTCTTCCTCTCTGCTCTCCCTCCTCACCATCATTCAGAAGGGCTCCTCTATTCACTATTCTTCAAGTCTTTTTGTTCCCGTGTTCTTTCTTCCTTTATTATTTATTTTTTCTTAAATCAAACCCCTTCAGTACTTTGCAACAGCTGGGGATGTTGCTGCTGCTGCTGTTGACGTGGCTAAAGACCAAGTTGAGGAAGAAAAGGAAAACTGATAACGACACGGCGCCTCTTGGAGATCGGCTCCTAATTGGCGCTGGCCTGGATCTTGAGCTGTTCACTACAAAAGCAAAGACACTTGAGCGGTAAATGAAAGAGATAATGCTCCCCGCATATTCGAGATGAACACTGAGGAGATGAGATTTCATCGAGGCCTCTTGAGAGCCGCCAGTCAACACGAGATCAAAATGGCTAACTTGAGACGCTGTGCCGCGAAATTAAATGATTTGTCTGCGAGCACAGTGGGTGGTTTGGTCAAACGATAAAGAAAAGCTTGTGAGAGAGTAAATTTATTATAGTGACAAGCCTACAATATGGGTCATAGTGGTTTTATTCCCAGATCAATCGTGTTTCCGCCGTCCATGAAACTGACTTCCACAAGCCCTCCGTGCTGCTTCCTACATCCACTGTACAATCACCGAAACGCTTCCTGACTCCTGCGTTACATAACTGTGACATCATCTCAGTGATCAAACTCTGCCTTTGAGCCACCGGTAGCGAACCAGAAACCTGAAATCACGGCGACGTCTCAGAAACGTGAACCATGTTGTTTCATAGCCAGCAGGTTTCGTCGATACATCGACAGCTGTCTGAGTTTAACCCAAGAGGCTCCAGGAAAAGGAATTTAGGTTTCTGTAGTTTTTGTTTTTAGAGCTTTAAAAAAAGATAATTTACCACTTACAGGGGCTGCTTCAAGATATTTTTTTGATAGGCTTGCATTGGGTGATTACTTAAAGGGAAATTGATGATAGTTTACACATAAAGTGGAGGTTGGAGGCAGTGTGTCACTAATGACCTTCCTGGTTAAACTCGTGCTGAGAGCATAAGGTTCCTGGTTTTATTTGATTGAAAAAATGAAAAGCAGAGAAAAAATCTCCACATATTAGTCTTTTAAATGAACAAAATTTGTTTTAATTTCTATTCAGCGGTTATTCTGACCGGAAACATTTTCCATTTTCAATATGTTTCCCACAGGAAGATCATTAATGGCCCATATTATCCTATTATAATTTATAACTTTGGGCTTTGCTGAGCAGCAATCAATACAAATGTGATGATGGTTTAAGAGTTCATAATGTAGCGTTCCCATAAAATGTTATGGTGCTCTTGATACTGGCTCAAGCTAGTAGAAGTCTCCTCTGGTCTTTAGCCAAGAGGTTCATCCTTCTGGCCAGAAAATCTGGATTTGTTTCCCAAAGAAACCAGAGTAATCGACTGCAGCAGGACCTGACTTCAGGACCTGACTTCAGGACCTGACTTCAGGACCTGACTTCAGGATGTTGAAACGTTCCTTTAATGTGGCTCCACTTCCTGCACATCCAGAGGAATGAAGATACAGCAAATTACACAGACTGTGTAGAGATTTTATTTCTCATAAATGGTTTGTCGCCATTTTCCACAACAAGAGAAATGCCGGAGCCTTCTCCAGCCGAGCATCAGCGCAGCAACAGATGGGGAAGGGGCAGAGCAGAGCTATTTAATTCTCCAAATTGATTTTTCTTTTCGAAGCGTATTGAACTACTTTACTCTCTCTGACCAGTGATTCACAGCAAACAGCAGCACCACTTAAAGCAGCCAAAATACATCTGGTCATGATTGTTTTCTATTCAAAAAGACATTGAATCTAGTAACTGGAATCATGGGAAATATTGCAGTTTTGAAACTATAATCAAAAGACCAATACATTTTTTAATTACAGAGCCAACATGTGGAGAAACATGTGGAGACATGAACTCACATCCAGGGATGTTATAGAGAATATAATGTAAAGAATATAATTTTTTTCAAAAAACCTTGAGGGAAACCGGGGAAGTCAGTGACATCTTGCTCCAAAATCAGCCTTTGGGAGAGAAATGACACCTTCTTTGAACTGAATGTGACTCTGATGTGTGTGTGTGCGTGCACGAGAGAGAGAGAGAGAGAGAGAGAGAGAGAGAGAGAGAGAGAGTGTAGTAATGAGCATCTTCACAGGCTGTACTTACTGCCCTGGTGACTGACAGGAAGCGGTCATAACTAATGAGGACAATGTTGAAGACAGAGGCAGAGCAGAGCAGGTAGTCCATGACCAGCCAGACTTTGCAGAGCCCCTTCCCCAGCATCCACCTGCCAGTCAGGTTGTAGGGGATGTACACTGGGATGCAGAAAGCGCCTGGAACACACACACGCAGACACGCACACACACATCCACACACACACACACACACACACACACACACACACACACACACACACACACACACACACACACACACACACACACACATACACACACATACAAAAGATATACCGCATGATGATTCAACACCTCCAGATCATTAACATTCCCACCTCTGCACAGTCTGAGGTGTGCAGAGGTGGCAGTTTAAAAAGATTAGATGAAGATTTTGGACAGTTTCTCCCCAGCAAATTTGTTAATTACTCTCAGCTGAAGCAGTGACCTATAGAAAATAACGTGAGAGGCCAATATTACTGTAGCCTAATAGAAAAAACTACAGTTATGCTCCTTGTTGTGTAGAAATGTCCGTGAATAATGACAAAAACACATTTAAAATAAAAAAAACTCTCCGATTTATGTGTCGGATCGTGCGTAATAAGCGCTCGCGAGGAGAAAATATGAGCGCGTCAGAAACAGAGACAGGCTCCCGAGAGTGCCAACTTACCCACGAGAAAATCGGAGATGGCGAGGTTCAGAAAGAAGTAGTTGCTCTGATTCCTCAGGGTTTTATCCACGATGAAAGCCATGATGACCAGCGCGTTCCCGGCCACCACCACGATCACCAGAGTCACCATGAGGACCGAGAAGATCACCACCAGGTAGCCGGGCAGCACGACCCCAGCCTCGGACACCGCGGGCGTCAGGTTGGCGCTGGAGTTGGACTCCAGGATGTGCGCGCCCATGGTTAGAGCCGAGCTGCTCTCATTGCGGGCTTGGTGCTTCGCGGAGCGCGCCGAGGCGCAGCAGAGGTCCGGCAGCGCGCCCGAGAGTTCCGCTCCACTTCAGTGTGGAGGTGACTGGAGACCGGAGGCTGGATGAATTCCCCCAAAGTCCCATTTTCTCATCCCTCTGTGGAATACAAAACCCCCCCTTTTCCCTGGAAGATTTTCTTTTCCTTTTCCAATTGCGTTACGATCATAACGCCTGTAGATCCACTCGGTGTTCTCGCTCCCTCGTCGACTCCCAGCTGTCAGCGGGATGTGCTGCTGGATGTGTGGGTACCACGGCGCGCACAGCTGATTTTGTCACCAGTGTCAAGTCGATGGTCTAGTGAAACCAGTATCCGCTCAATACGTCTGAATAAAGCTCCTACTGTACTGACAGTGACAAACAGACGTCCAGAGACACCAGATCCACGTGGAAAGCTTTTTAATTTCCATCACACTTTACTATTGTTTTATTTATTACAAATAATTAAAACAATTAAAAAGGCCGAGATACTTTCATTTGGATAGAAATGGTGTGGGGAAATGTTGAGCTTTTATTTTGAAGACGAAGCAATTTCCGGTGTTTTTCACCTCACTTTAATGAATGAACAGCTCTCCAAGCAATTAAAGTACACTTGTTCTCTCAGGCTTTGTTGGAGCGCTAAAATGTCTACAATCCCAACAACCACATCGAATCAACATTCATACAAATAAAAATAAACTGCATGGTCTCTTTTTAAAGATCTGACCATTTCAAAACGTTTTAACTGCAGAATCCTTCTCTATAATCTTAACTCACTGTAGATAAGTCAGTAATTAGTTACTAAACTGGAAAAACCTTGATAAAACTATTTAGAAGCTCAAATTTATATCACTCTTTTTAGAAATTAAAGAGAGTTCAGCTCGGTGTGATGCCTCATTCTCAACATGAAGCTTAAAGCCAGAGATGCAGTCGAATGGATTGGATGAAGGCACGCGTGTCTGTCAGAATGGCCTAGTTAAAGTCCAGGTCCTAATCTCACAATCGACGGAAAGTCTTCCAACGTTACCGCTTTCCGGTTCTTTTAATCAACCTTGCTCTGCTGACGTTCCTGCTGACGTCAGCAGAGACTCACCGCTGTGTGCGATTCTGCGAAGCCCTGGCGCCAAAAGCATGCCACACTTTTCAGATTCGAATAAAAAAGTTTCACAAAACAAACGCGGCCGTCTTCACGGTTGTGCGCAGCTTTGTTTTGATTGTCGCACAAAACCAGCCCAAGGCTCACGAGCACTCAGGCAAAACAGGAAGTGTCAGTATGGACACCCTCAGGAGGTTCGTAAACTTTATGGAGGCAGTCCAGCTGCAGCAACTGTGAACTTTGGATTGAATTCTCTCTAAAAAGGCGTGAAACATTTATTCAGCTGAAAGCATTCGAAGGAAATAATTATCAAAAGGCCGTCCACAGGCAGCCAGAGGAATGTTTGGTGTGCTCAGGTGGATCCAGTGCAACACAGTCATTCCATGTCAATCTGAACTCTGCTGTTCAGAACGCAATCAGTGAATGAAGAAAATCACAAATTCACCAATTACTCACAAGGAGGCAAAGATTCAAAAAACGACAAAAAGAGAAGAAGAAAGGGGGAAAAAAAACTTCACATGAGAATGTCAGACAGCAGAAGCATTGTGGCTCAGCGATGACAGAGTGGCTGTGTCTGACGCAAAGTGCTCGACACGCAGGTGGCAACTGTCACAGCACGACAAAGTGAAATGAAAGGGAGCCAAAAGATCCTCCAGAGGAAAACACTTCAAATGGTCAAACGGTGACAGAAAGTTTTTTTGTTTTTTTTTCACAAGATTTTTTTATTTTTCTCTCTTCTGTGTCTGGGAGGTACTGAAGCTCAGTAATATATATTTTAGAAATAGTAATAATAACAATAAAAATCCTCCTTTTACAGAATGACATCGAGTTCATGTGAAGCATTAATATTCACATTTGGCCTTGGTGCATCTGGGCCAAATTCTGACAGATTGTTGAATCAACGCTTTGATGAAATCACAATGTTTGGATTGCCAATCTGACAACTTTCTCTTCAAAAGGGCAGGATCGTGTTTTCCAGGCACAATCAAGTAACTATGTTACCTTCAGATGTTACAAAAATGCTACATGTATCAAATATGACTTACAATAAATCTTACTTTGTAATTTAATGCCTCTCTATAAAAACTCCTGCTCTTTCTCAAACTCCGCCTTCAGGAAGTCGTCACAACGTGGCTCCTCGATTAACCCTTTACCAGTGTTTTTACTCAGCAGCTCCATCAGAGTAAAATTGTCGCTGCCGCTAGTCTGAAGGAGCCCACTTGAGGATTTCGCGGGGGAAGAGCTGCTCTGTGAGGCAAAAGCACAGAAGCTCGGAAAGTCGAAGGCGGGGCAAGGCCCACCCAGACGTTTTGCACAACTGGGTGGAAGGTTGCCACGGGAGATTTAAGGATTTCTCAAATATCCAAGTGTGTCTTTGATGAGGGAATAACATTATAACACATTACAAACGTCAAAACAGTCATTTTTTCTCAATGCTGCCCCACAGGTTCTCAGTGGAATCAGGATGTGGGGAGTTCACTCGATTGTGATCAAGAAGCAACCCTTACCGGCTCGCTTCGTGTCCCATCATGTTCTTCTCTGAACGACTCCGCAATCAATAGACAAAGTTGCTGGGGATTTTCAATTACAACTTTTTGACAGCGTTTTAGGCAGAAAACTCTCAAACTCTCACATCCCCATTGCCTTAACACTGGAATCAGCGTAGGATCCGGCCTGTTTTGGTTTTTCTGGACTAGTCCTTGTACTTCCGGCCGAATGGCAGTCTGTCCATTTATGCTTCTCTTGTTTGCTGATTCTTCACAACACGTTGAGGTCCAAAAGGTTTCAAGCCCAAGCAAACTTTGTTCTGGTGAACCGGGACCTGCAATCGCTCGTCCATCAGGTGGAAAGTCTTTGAACTTTCTTGCGTTTCTTTCTTTTTCTTGACTACTAGTTGCATCATTCTCACCTGTCAAACCCAATTAGGGTAAAGAAGTGATGACCGCAGGCGTTTTATGGATTGCGGCAGTGGTTGACGAGATAACGATTTACAGCTGCTCTTCTGATTCAAACAAAAGAACAGAGTGAAATCAGCTGCCCTGTCATCTGTATTGCTCTTACCTAATCATAAGATCATTGAACTATTGCTGCATGTCCATTTTTATACTGACTCAGTGCAAACCTCTACTTCCTGAGCCACCATCGCCCCAGGCTGTATTTATTTACATGCCGCCAAAATCCCGACATGTTGTCTCAAGACACTCCACAAGAAAAAGTCAATTCAATCCAGTCATGAAGACATTCCTATCATATTCCTCGTTCCTTGCGGTTTTTAACGGGTCGGTCAGTTCTTAGTAGTTTCTACAATCTCCTTAGACGTTTCCCCAGCTTGATGTGAGCTGATGATTTAACCCTTCGTTAAAAATCAAATCATTAAACCCATTTATTTTGCTTAGTTGAATCCAGGTAGTGACTTTTGTTTTGGACCAGGCTGTGCATTTATTGGTTTTTCCCAACACTTTTGTAAACATTGGGTGCTTTGAGCTTCCGTACTTGTGGTTCTTAACTGGAAACATGCTTGTATTGTACATATCTACGGTACACACACATTAGAGCACAAAAAATATATATATCTCCAATCTGTCTTCCAGGATGTCACAGTTCTTCCAATAAGCGTCACCTCAATCAGCAGCAGGAAGTGAAATGTGTAACCCTAAGACAGCTAATTATTCTTCTCAGTCTTCAGTATGAATATGAGATCACTACAAGTCCCCCGCCCCCAAAAAAGAAAAATGATTATGAGTTGAGATGATTGGGTTCAGCGTGATGACAGCTTGTCAGGGATATAGAAATCTCCGCTAAGTGAATTAGTTGTGATTAGTCCTAATCGCTGAAATGAGCAGAAATCCAGCATGTGTCGTGTGTGTGTGTCTCTTATCATTTAAATGAAATGCCAGTCTGCCATACGTGCCTCTTTTATCTCCCCGGGTCTCAGAACTTATATCATACAACGGCGAATGTTTTCGTGACGACAGCTGATGGAGAACCTATTCGGCAAACTCCTGAGGTGAGTTGGGGAGAAGTTGCCTTAGCATGCACGGCGGTGACCTGGGTGAGCTGGAGTGTCACCAGAGCCGAGGAGGCGGAGGAGAAACCCCCGGAGGAGTCGGAGGGAAGTAAACGCTCTGAGAGGACGGGGAGCTGGGAAAAGTTGAATATTTAACAGGCTTCATGTGGATGTCAGATGCGGATGGGGAAATTGGGCATATGAATAATGTGAGTGTGTGTGTGTGTGTGAGATGGAGGGAAAGAGGGAGAGGGCGTCTGTGGGGGTGATGCTTCATTTTGTTGAGCACTGATGTGTATCGGCACGTTTCTGTGAAATTCTGGACAAACTGCGCATGAAATTTTAGCTCGGCTTCCGATTTGGATGGAAGACGAACTCTGAAGTTGAACTTTTGGAGAAAAAGTCTTTCTTCTTTTTTGTTTTTCTCAACAAAAACCCAGCAGTCTGTTGACGTCATGTTTTTTTAAAATTAAATAAGTCCAGCTGTAAACACGTCATCGAAGACTTCTCAGGTATTTCAGACTCTGAGGATTCAGCATCGTAGAGAAGTGCGGTTTGTTTTTTGTTGCATGTTAAAACCAGAAACGTCAGGGGTTTTTGTTTCTTGTATCATTGAAAGTGATAAACCAAAATGAATTAGTGGGTAACTGTCCTGTGTGGGGTTGAAAATCTGAAAAGTGTGGCGTGAGTTTGTGTTAATTATCTTTTACCCCGAAGCCCTTAAATAACGCGTAGAATTACAGAATTTCGTCTCAGCAAAAATCAGAACCATATAAAGAACCAGCATAAGCTTGTTCTTGATAGAATATGTTTCCTGTGTGGCTTCCAAAAATATCAGTGTAAATACATGCAGTACAGTAAGATAGATAGAGTATAGGCCTTAAAAGGAGTCTCTTCAGGTGAAAATATAAAAGAACCTTTTTTTGGTCGTTCTTGTCCGATATGCACTGGCCAAAAGCAAGAAGGTGGCAAAAAATACCTGACACCCCTCTTAACAACCGGTGAAACACGGTGTTGGCAGTATCATGCTGTTTGGAAGACAGAACCATAAAATCCAAATTTAGACATTTCCTCAGCAAAAATCAAAGTAAATCTGGAGGTTGGTTACACTTTACATATTTTTCGCAAGGCACTTTAATAAATTATTTGAAAAGAAATGACAATTAACGAGATAAGAAACCGAATTCAACTCCCCGACAACACAAACGGGAGGCTTCTCGTTTATTTAAGAAGCCAACCGAATCCGTGTTTCCTCTGAACTTCACTTCGCCTTCTTGCTTTTCGGTCTCTTGGTCTTTGCTCCCGACTTGCAGGCCTCATCCTGTGAAACAAAGAGGACGGAATTAGAGAACGAGCAGACTAATGATTATTTTGCCATGGTGCTCCATTTAACTGTGCCAGAGCTTTTTCCTCTCGCAAAAATGTTTGAGTGCCGCTTTGTGGCTCGTGACACACTCTCCAGCCCAAACTCCCGCTGCGTGTGCAAATGTGCAAATTACAATGCGGTGATTGACGTGCACCACACTGCTCTAATGTATTCTAATAATTGCATCAAACTAAACATTGCATTCCTAAGTACTCTTATCAAACATCCCCCGCCTTGCCCGCGACGCTTCCCGGGTCGCGGGCCGCCCCGGCTCCGTCGCATATGGCGGGGAGGCGAATGTTTCCCAAAAAATGTCAAATTCCTGAGCAGTCATGCATACAAAGGTGATCTGGTGATTAAACGCAGGTTTTCCTCTTGAGTTCTGGCAAACCGTTTATAAAGTGACTCATCCTGCAAAATAACTGGCAGAAATCTTTTGCTCTCCAGGTGTAAAAATGGACGTCCAGCTTGTTTTCGCTAAGGATTTTATTTTTGTTTTACTTCCTAGCTCCCAGTTCTGGTGCCAGGAGATTTCATCCAATTTCGGCATCAACTTTGGCAGAGCTCTTCTACAAGAGGGGGCATAAAAAAAGATGCTGTTAATAAGGTTTCAATCAGTAGGAAATGGAAACGGCTGCAGTGTCAGGGTTAATTATGTTTTCTGTTTCTTTTCTTAAATAAATTCATTTGCAAGATTCTTTGCTAGCCATTTTTTTAAAACAATTTTTATGAGTCTCACCCTGTTCCTAATTGGATCTCTGCCCACGGTGAAAAATCCCCTCACTCTGGGGACGTCGGGATCGCCATCAGGTCAAAAACAAACAAATACTACAACACATCTGTACTCTGACAGGAAGGAGCGTCAGCTGCCTTGTGTTTCGCTATTTCACGTCTCCCCTTTGTGTGGGCAAGCCGTTTGAATCGCAAGCGTATCAAAAATGCCCGCAGATTAAAAATAACACGAATTATCCCCAGAGAAGAGGCTTCGCCGTCGCAATCTGCGCAGCCATTAGGAAGGAGAGCCAGGGCTCTCCACACCGACCGAAAACATCGGCATGAAGCTCGTTTGAGACAATCACATTTCCCTCATGATAATTTGCGACCACTTACATAATCAAGGGAACATTTTTTCCCCCTTTTGCCACCGTTGAATTGTAATGTGTTGTTAATTAATGACCAGGCGCGTGAAAAGTGACCAAAATACATCCGAACTGACCTCATGTTGGATGCCTCGATGTTGCGCCTTTGTGATTATAGTCAGAAATTGTCACCTCTGCCCATTTTGGTCAATGCACAGCCACAAGAAGCAGCTCAGAATGTAGGGGAATTAAAACTCCCCATCGTTTATAAAACGTCTATGGCAAATAAAAGGTGTTTTGTGCTTGGTATTAATCGCAACAACTGTATCCAGTAGGTGCGTAATTAGCTATTAGCATTTAAATGTGTGTAATTTAGTCTCTGTATAAATCCAGTTGCTTTAGAAAGGCCGCAGAGGTTTGTTACAGAACAAACAGCCTTATAAAGCCGCAGAACATATTTTTTTATTATTAGTTAGTCAGCCATTTTATGAATGAAAACATTCACCAGGAGAGATTTACTCAAGGAAGCATCAGGCAGGGAAGTTGTAATTAGTACTGGAGCTATTATTAATCTATTGTAGCTCGCGTTGAGTTCTGAAATGTTAACAGCGAAAAGGGGGAAAAAAGTCTCTGTCTCATTGGGCCCTCATTAACTGTGCCATTGTCACACAGCTGTAGCTGTCTTTTATCAAGATATGCATCAGGAAAACTGAACTGCCTCTCTGACCTCCTCAAAAAGCTTCAGACAGACTCTTGATGGGCCGGTAGGAGTTTCATTTAGGAAGAACAATTAGTTTAAATCTCCTGTGAGTTTAAATCTCCCTGCAGAGCCAGCCAGCGTGAATCGGTTGTCACAGTCTGGGTCCGAAGTCCGACGGGGACGAAGCGTTTGGCTGAAACCAAGCACTCGTTCGTGAAAGGAGCTAATGAGGTTCTCCAGAAAGAGGATTTCGCTCAACCCTTTTGTATTGAGGTAAAATGGTGTAAGAAGCAGAGAGAAAACTCAACACTGCTTTTAAACAAAGTGATTTGATAGCATCTGACGACTTATCCTCTACTGTTCACACCAGCCCGGTTTGATCCTGTTCGTTTGGGGAGGTGTGAACAATCGAACTCTGATGCGGAACAAAAAAGCGAACTCTGGTCCGACCCACAAACGTTGGTCTCAGTTCGCATTAAAAGCCCATTAAAATGGCCGACTTTGAATTATTCGGTAAATAACACTTTCAATGCAAGACTGTACTAAAACTTTCCTTTAAAATTCACTAAAAGGGTCTACATTGCATTAAAAGTGTCATTATTTACCGAACAGCTCTTCACGACAACAGTCATAAACATTCATGAAGACTCCTTCGTGTTCATTACAGGTGTTGTAGTTCAATTAAATCCAACAAAATTAGCAATAAAAAATTGCCCTCCAGTGTCTCACCGTGGAGGCGACATATCCCTCGTCCATCAGGATGTTTCTGGCGCAGTTGTTGATGTGCTTGAAGCGGTCGGGCCCCAACAGAATGCCTCCATACCACCGAGACACGACCACCATGACATCCCGCACGTCCAGAATCTGCAGCGAGACAAACACAAGAGGCGAAGTGACTGCAAATTCCAGATAAGCCGTCATGTCACCTCTCCCTGGCAGCTGAATATTTCACACCAGATGTGTTATGGCGGATGGATTGGAATGAAATGTTTCAGTCGCAGCTGCCAATCTAAAGTCAGGGGTCTGACGATCAGAACTGACGGGATTGAAAATGTTTAATATTGTCATGATTCTGATTTCTGCTTAAGATCAGAGGAGAACTGTTTACTTTGTAATGTTGTGAGTCAGAATTATGGAAACCAAAAACGTTACCATCCTCACCTGGTGGCATCAAAATAGCTGGGAATCAGAACTCTAGTTGGTGTCTGGTTTATGTAATTATTAATCATTTTAACCAATAATTCACTACCAACTAAATTATGAAAACAACGGTTGAAAAGACAGAGGAAAGTTCCCGTCTTGTCGAATAATGAAGTCTCTGCGGACGCATCAGGAGACTTCTCGCGTCTCCATGAGAACGCAGAAACGTGGCGTTCGCAAGCCGCTTTTTCAGACGTTCTCCAGTGAACACTATGAAGGTTTGGAAATTAATCTTCTTCCTCTCCAGCAGGTCAGAAGGAAATTGCTCAGAGCAGGAGCCTTTCTCGTTGGAAAGGACTCGTCACTCACTGGGAGTGTCTGTAATCAAAACTGTGACCATAATAATAATAATAATAATAATAATGGAGGAACTGGGTTCCTGTCTAAGAAAGGAATTCAAATAATTGACTTGTCAGCTCTGAGTTTAATTGTGCCACAAGGAATGCCTGGCGATGCAGTTCGGACAATCCTGGAGCAAAAATGAAATTCGACAATAGCTGGTTTGAAACGAAAAGCTCACAGTTTTCATTGTATTCTTCCTTTTGCTCTTGTACTTGATCTGATTCGCCGTTATCTTCAACAACCAACTGACTCGGAACATCTTTTATTTATTTTTTTAACCACGTTTTATACCACTGTAAGACGATGCTGCCTTCAGGGAACACTGCTGACAAAACCGTTCGCAACAATTTCTCTTCTCAGGAACAAAAAGAGGGCAAACGTTTCTCTCTGAGCTGCAACGCAAACAAAAAGTGCAATCTGTGACTCGAGGGGGATCCATTCACATCTGGCTGAAAGCCCGCCTGAATCAGATCCATCTTTATTCATCGCCGAACACGTCCACATTCGCTTGGCACAAATCTAAAGGAGGAAACGGGTGACGGCGCTCGAAAGGGAGCGATGAGATTGGAGAAAACACGCCCGAAAGAAGAGAGCTCTTCTCGTAAATGCCTCAGCACCTCCGGAGCGCCACTAGTAGAACATTAACCAGCGTGTCGTGAAAGATGGGCTGGAAGACCTGATGCTATCAGGCCGTTACAGCAGAAAGGTCAGACGCTGATACGGACGAGATAAGTCCCTGTTATTTCCTGGTTTTATTTGTGCTAGTGTTAGAAGAAAAAAAAAAGGCTGTGGAGTGTAAAGAAATGATAAAAAAAAAGAAAGAAAGAAGAAGAGCAGGTATGTTAGGCACTGGTTTGGAAGTGGCTGTTTTATAATGAATTATTTCCCCTAGTGGTAGCTTTTCTCCCTTTTATCCACCAAGGAACCAGGAACGACCATATTTGGGCAAAAGAGCCAATCTTTGTAATGTTGCAACAATAACTGCACATTGAGCGCAAAAGTGATCAGCATATTAATCAATGAGACTCTGAAGACAGATGAGAATGAAATGAATTAGCATTTTAATGACAGAAAAGATGCTGCTTGAACGCACGTCCATTTTGTTGATACTTAACGTATGCTTCTCTCTTAAAGGGAAGCATACATTTTATAATGCAATCAGTGGTTACAAAACACACTCCATGTACCAAATAAAACTTGGTCAGCAATTCGACACCTTGAAATTGGGCTGCTGTCTCTTTAAGAAGCGCCCTTGTGGCTCTCAAGAGCCTTTTCAAAAATGTTGGAAAATGGAAACAGATGGGGGTGGGAAATATATGTTTTGTTTCCGTATGGTTTCTGTAGGAGTACAAACATGACACAGTCATTCTTAACGTTTTCCAATGCTATAAAAATGTGTAGAATAAATATTAAATTTCAAGTCTCTGGAGCCGCGGGTTGCTGACCCCTGACCTGATCACAAAATCTATCTGTCGTTTAATGAGTTTTTGGCAGAAGACAGCGTACTCCTGGTTTTCAGAGCTCGTGTATGATAATGAGACACATGAGAGAGCAGCGAACGTGAGCTGAAACGCCACGCAAAAACAAAAAAAAAAACAACAAAACAACAAACGGCCTGGAAGGAGACGCCGCGCTGCTGCTCCTCTGCCAACCTGCAGACTTTGATCATTCATTCCCTGCGTTTTCCAGGATTACGTACGAGCAGGAAAACAATGAGATCGGATGATACAAACAAGAGTGACATCAGTTTATCCTTTCATGATAAAGTTCTCCGAGCTCACTTCAGATTACTGGATCTGCTCTAAAACACGTCTCACTGTTTGGGAGGCGAACAGATTGATTCATCTGAATTCAGTGCGGCAAATCGCAGACGTTGCAACGAGAAGCCGACCCATCCCCCTCCCCGAACCTCCACCCAGACGGCTGCCGTCACCTCCCGAATGAGTGTGAACTCTGGCGAGAGTCACGGACCTCATCTGGAAGAGCTCTGACACCACGCAGCACCTGCTGGTAATGAGAATGACAGAACCGCTCCGAGTCACGGCTGAGCCTTTATTACGGCGAAAACTTTTTTCTTTTCTTCTTCTCACACCAGCTTTCATTCAGCGTTACAGAGAAACAAAAAGTGTGAGGACAATTGGACGTTTTTAGTGCGATGTGGGAGAGTGTGTGTGTTTGTGTGTGTGTGAATCACGGTGCCATCTGACAGCACAGCCAAGGGACAAACGCCTGTTTGATATCAGAAATAACGGGATTAATAACGGAGACCAAACTGGAGTGAACAAAGTTCTGAGCCAAAGAAACTTTGCGTAATGCCTCCGCGGTGGTGTTTAAATATGCATTCATTCAATTTCTCTGGAAGGATGAGCACAAAGCTGAGCAGAGAGCAAAATCACTTGTAATTTGCAAAAAAAAAAAAAGTCTGCGACTATCCCTTGCTAATATGACAGAAATTTAATGTTCCATTTATGAGATATTATAGAAACATGAGTATTTGACTTTGTTGGGCTTCACTTGACTTGTGAAAGTAAAAGCAGAGTTGCTATTCTCACACATTTCCTGAATCCATTTTGTCAAACATGCCCCTGTCGCTCTTTGTGTATTAAAATTTCCTTTGGACATAAGCGCAAACAAATGTAAATGTAAATACAACAGCATGACTAAATCCCCCAATGTGGACATCGATAAAACCGGACAATCTTAAGCAACATGCGGGATTTATCAAATTTCAAAACGTGAAGTTGTACCCATTTTTTCTCCTCTGCTCAAAGTTTTCAGTCCTATTTCACAAACCCTGGGATGGAGGCGGCAACGACACCAGACAAGGTGAGAAATGCCCCAAGTTTGAAACTTGTCACAAATAATAAGACGTTATGGAAACACATACTTTGGGGTGAACGTCAAGGTGTTGGTGGGGAGAAAAGGATATGTCAGTGAGTTTTTCAGAAGTGAGGACGAGGAGGGATTCTTTGCTCTGTCAACGCTGCACAACCAGGGAGACGTTCAATAGATCCAGGGCAATATTTGATCATATTTTGTAAAAAAGAGCTTAGTCCTTGTAGTAGACACTATAAACAACTGATTGTGTAAATATATGATAAACTCTGGGAGTGTTCAGTTTATGCCCCTTCTTCTCACCCTCCTCCTCATAAGGCAAAGACATTTTGGTGCAAACATCCGACATGTGCAACTCCTGCACATTATGAGTTTTGATCAGGATCTGTCTCTCTTTATTGCTTAGCAGCCAAAACTGAAGCAACTGCACAGCCATTTTCCTAAAGAGACCCTTGGCACGATTTGGAGGTGTGTGTGCTTCATTCTTCCATGGGAAATCCAGTGCCTGTCACATTCTCTCTTCAAGGGCACAGAGTTCAACAATTTGTCAGATATTTATTTCACAGTGCCAAAATCATTCCAACAAATTAGGCTTCTTGGAGAAATGCTAATGATTTTAGCATGAAGCTTGAACTTCTTCATCTGGGCAATAAAAAGACTTGTACACCTCATAACTTCTGCAAGGCAATATCTGAATAAAACACCTGACATCCAAGAGTCAAAGAACTATAGTAAATTTAACTGCAACCATATCATTGTAATAAAATCGTAGCTAACGATTAGCTACTAGCTCCAGCGAAGGCTGTCGTCACTGTAGCAGCACACACACATATGAAGAAGTGGATTTGGCTGAGATTTCTAACAGTGATATTTTATTTTGACGTGCATGTCACATATTGCTATCTTAAATAAGTGAGTTGTGCTGTTTTTCCTGACCTAAAAACAAAAGCAGATTGTGCCAATTATCTTCAAGACACATCTGCATGTTTGAAGAAGAAGCACAGACCTGAAACTGGAGCAACTAAATCTAATTCTGTCATTTTTACAATTATTATTCACACTGTACTTTTCCAGCTGCCGCGTGTTGTAACAGTAATAAATGGGCCCAAGGTACTTTTGTTAGAATTAATTTGTGTTGGACGTAGATGTCCTTTTTACAAGATAGATTCTCGTACTAGAGTGCAATAAGAAGAAAAAAAAAATCCAATCGCTGTGCTTAAATCCACACCCATTCTTAACTGTTTAAGATCTCATTTATGCTTCATTCATCAGGTTTTTTTTTGAGAGATAAATTAAACAGCCAGAAGTGTTCGGCTTTATGTTGCAGCGCTCTCTTGAGAGCTGCTTACTGATAACAAACCCTGAGTAAAAGTCGCAGCAGACGCCAAATTATGCAGGCTGTGAAAATTACCAGGCCAGCTCAGAACAGACACCAATTAAACATGCAAAAGCAACAAAAAGCTGAATGCGGCCGGCGGATTAAACGATGGAAATGTGACATCAATACCGAGCGAAGAGAAAACAAGAAAAAAGGTTAAATAAAAGCTTTGTGCGTCCTGCGCTGGAAACAATTTTGTCAACTCTTTTGGGGTCTTTGCTTCAAACAACGGCGGCCGCTTGGCGTGCGGCTGAACGACAGGCGCGGACCAGACGAAAGTGATAACCTGCAGCAAGTGAAGCAATCTGCCCCCTGCGGCGGTCTCGCCGTCATCCTCGCAGTCCTGGAGGAAGCTGTGCTTGTCCTCGCAGTAAATCCTGCAACAGAGAGAGAGAGACAGAGAGAGAGGGAGAACGACATCAACGGTTTGGCATTAGGTTGGCGGACGCTCAGGTCAGAGGGTGGCGCCGGGACAACCGGCGGCGGCCTCTTCACAAGAGAAACTTCGCTTGGCAGTCTAAATGTCAGCATCTCTGTTTCCTAGTGAGTAATGGCCGCCCAGGCAGTCCGACGCTGACCTCATTAGGCCGTGTTATCAACAAAAAAAGAGAGTGCATGGACACATGCGTCAGGAGCCACAAACACACACACACACACTGTGCAGCCACAGTTTGGCAGGATGTGTGAAGTGGGGGGTGAGGGGGCTCTCATTTGCTCCAGAACTGTTTGACATTTTAAAGCAGTCCCTTCAGAGGAGTAGATTGTCTCATTTTCCTCTCCACTAATGAGACAAACTGTAGCACTAACTCCAGGATGAAGAGCTAATTTCAATATTAAGCTCACAACAATTGTTCCAAAGAATACGCTTTGGTTCAGAAGTTAATTTGGATCTCCTCGCGAGAGGAGGAGGCTCTGTGGATTCAGCGTTGCCATGAGGAGGGATGTCTGCACGCAGAAATCTGCAGCAGCACAAAAACGCTAAAGTTAAATGAATTCTGATTGATAACATCAGACAGACTGTACACAAACTGTAACGAACCCCGACGTGAGCTGACAGGTTTGTGCAATCAAAAGCCTTTCTGTCAGCGGAGTCGTTACAGAAGTTACATTTATGACGGATAAACATGAACAGAGCAGTGAAAACGGTATTCGCCCCTTCATAGATTTGGTTTCTTTTTGCTTTTTTGTGACTATATGTATTTTTTAACATAAAAGACTTTAAAAGAAAGCACTATTCATATTTAGAAAAGCTGCAATATGAACTTTTTTTTAATATGTTTTTTTTTAATATTTGTCAAAACTATCACCATGTCATGACATTATAATATAAGACAGATAATGTGTGAAAAAGTTTAGCTCTTCTGCTTTCCACCTATTATCCTGCTGCCAAAAGTCAAATACACAACAGCTCTGTCAGAAACAACCAATCAATTGTTGGGCTGTCAATAACCCTCATGTATGCGTCGCTCAGATCCTCCCCCAACAGTGAGCTATGAATTCTCAGGCTACTTAGCATAGCCACCAATGATGATGACAGCTTTCCTCTAGTTGTCATAGAGCACATTTAGCAGCACATACACAAAGTGACCGACAGCACTAAACCCCTCCTCTTGGCTCTGATTGGTCGATTATGACCGGGAGCGGTGCTTTCCTTCAAACAAAAGTGACTCAGGAAGGAGGTGGAGGACCTGAATTTTTTCACACGTTATTTGTCTCATGTTGTAACGTCATGACAGTTTTAACAAATATGTAAAAAAAAACAAAATTAATTAATTAATAAAAAATTTAAAAAAAAAAACAAATTTTTGTAAAAGTTACATTTATTGCAGCTTTAATGAAGCTCCCAATATAGGCACATTAAAGGGTTTGGGGGCATCAATAGCTTTTAAGTTTTAAGTCCAGACTATTTCTTTTTTTTTTTATCCCAAACTTGTAAAAGGTAGACTTGCTTTTTATCCTGCTGCATAAAACCCGTAATAACAAACCAATAAAAGGACATTTTCCTTCACGATTTCCTGCTGCAGACCAAAACTCTTAATTCTGTCGACAAAGGCAAGTCTTCCGGGTATGAAAGAAACTAAACTGTAACAGTGCGAATCACTCAAAAGTCTTTTTGAGGCCTCCTCGATAAATTGTCTAAGTACAAACCCTCACTGTGGTTTGCCGGCTTCCAAAAGTCTTGAGACTTTTCTTAAAAAATGTTCACAATCCACTCTGTTTCTTGGGATAGGGACATGATGTTTTGCCTTTCAGGTTTCTTCATGTTGTCAGATTCAATCTAAGTGACGTATCGATTGTGAAGGTGCAGTAAAAAGGCCCGACTGCTGCTGGTGAGACTGAACCGAAGAACGCCGCAGTCGCACTGGAATTTCAACCCAGCCTGTAAACAGACATGTGAGAATTTAAAAAAGCTGCGAAATATATTTTCACAGACGGTCAGATCAGCTTAAAACGCTTTGCCGTTTAATAAATGAGGGGCATTTTGTGTTGACTCGGCTTAAATTTGTCTTTGTCTGATATTAAAAATTGTTTGACGATGTGAACGACTCGCACGTGGAAAAAGCAAACAGGAGTAATCTGTGGGCAAACAAACAGTAATATTTTACTGCGCTGTTTGTTAAAAAGGATATCAGGAGAGTGAATCATAAAGCTGCTTGATGCAGCAGCCTGCCATCTAAAGTGGGTTTCATGAGGGACCCCTGCGAAGAAACCAGCGTGTTGCTCATGGCAAGGCCAATTTTGTGCATATTTAGATAAAAGCGCAAAGTTTTACAGAAAGCTGTGGTGTTCGGAGGTTCATTTTGGTTTCATTGCATTGAATGTTTGTTCGTTTCTTCCATATTTGATGGTCACTTTGTGAACTCTGACCAAACAACCAGCAGCTTCCCATGAAGCTGTAAGACCCAACCATAAATGAGAGGTTCAATTAGTCATAATAAACAATGAATCACTTAATCACATGATAAATAAAAAGAAACTCATTAATTTTTATTTGCTTGATTCATTGGTTTTCTCTTTTCTCTCACTTTTTACCAAAGACTGAATGATAAAAGTCATAAAAGTCATTCTGGTCTCAACTATCCCCTTTTTTTTAAAGATAATTTTGTTTACACAGAGTTCATAATTCATTTCATTTGTTGTTTCTGTCGTTTTCTTTATTTATTTTGGATATTTAAAATGAACTCCAGTTCCAGTGCTCAAATGTGCATTAAAATTTAAAGTTTATTGATCCTTAAGAATGTGTTCTTGCATTTTTGTGCCATTATTATAAATATATTTGTAATAATGGTAAATGGTCTCAAAACATCAAAATTGAAAATGGTCTCAAAACAACAAAATTATAATTTATCGCAATAAGTTCTGGGACAATTTAATGTGATGTTTACCTTTATGATACAACATTTACGGCCAGTACATTTTAATCAGCATCACTTTGGCCTACAAAGTAGCTTTATGCAAGCAAGCCATAAATCAATAAACTTTAGGGACGTTTAGTATCGTTATGAAACAGACAAACTGGAAGGTTTCAATGCTTTACGGAGTCTTGCTCAGACACTATGTTTTATGACGTAGCGTCTTTGTTCACTCATAAAATCCTATTTTCCATCAGGTCGATTTAGACGCTACCAACCTGTAAGCATAAATATTATGAGTGGCACTGGCAATCTTCTTGTTTGCATAAAGTTTCTCCAGGACCATCTTCACCTGAAACACATAAAGGAAAAAAAAAAAAAAAAAAAAACACAGTAATGAGTGGCGGCTGCTGGCATTCGGCTTCGTCCTCTGTTCGCTCACTGTAGAGTTTATAAAGCGTTGTACTAAAGCCAGGAGTGTTGAAGGAGTTCTACCTGCAGCACTTTGCGGTATGAATAACCCTTTAGTTCAGCCTGTCGCTGCTGACTAATGCAGATTACTCAGCTATTTGCCAGGGGCCGTTACATCAAACACTGAACTTTTGGGTAAAAGCTAGTAAAACAAAACTTATTGCCCATTTTTAATACTGTCTAATGGTTACAGAGCATCACATGCTCTGCATGAAGCTACAAAAAAAAAACAAAAGCAAAAAATAGCACAACGCTGAGCAAGCATTTTCTGAAATTACATCACTACAGTCATGTGACTGTAGTGATGTTTTAAGAAACACAATGATCAACTAGTGATACAGTAAGTATAAAAAGATGTGAATTGAAATATTTCATTATTATTCTTTCTTTCACTCTTTTTTTGTATCTGCAACCGGCACTTCAACATGCGCCTCCTTTTGTACATTTTAACCTGAAATGAAATTAAGTGGAACATTTCTTGAAGCCCAGTCAAGTAGAACTTTTTAAAAAATCACTGAAATTACAAGCAAAACAGCGTAGTTATCCGTGGAAAGAAACATAAAACCTCAAAGGCAGAACAAAATGGCCAAAGATTGTTGCCATATCACTCAGATTTTCAGTAGGACAAAAGGGAACTGATGCAGAAAACAATCTCAAGATGGTAAGATGGTTTCCATTTACGGTCCCTGAGCAGGAGAAAAAATAATAGTGTAGAATCATAATGAAAAGCTGTAATATTGCTCAATATACAATGACTGTACAAAAATAGAACGAAAGCAGCATTAAATGCCAAACTTCTGTTCTGCTATCACTAATGCCAAGATTGCAGATTTTATTTTTCACTGATGATGAGAAAACTGATCCGCAGTAAAATAGAATAGAATAGAATATCCATGTTAATCAATTGCAAAAGTACAAACTTGTTTTCACATAATATCAGATGATTCCAATGAACATATGGAAATATTCATTCAAGTGTACAAAACATCAAGTGGATGTTTTTAGACAGAATTATGCTGCTCAGATCTGCTCAAAAAACTGCCATAGTTTTCAGCACATAAGTTTCACATACACACGTTCATCCATATAAAACATAACTTGCAGGGAGCCCCTCTATCTTACAGCATTTTGTGTTGGATGCATCATGCAACACAATGCCCAAACATTTGTGGCAGCTCTGGCATCCCATATGTTGTGTTGGCTTCATGCTTTCACGTAATGTTCTTGAAGCACTGCTTAAGTAATTTTGAAAGGAAGAAAAATATATATACACACACACACATACATTTTTTTAGATTATTTCTTTCTTTATTTTTCTAAATTACTTAAGCAGTTGTAGCACTTAGTGCTTCAAGAACATTACGTGAAAGCATGAAGCCTGCCCCGGGTCTCTATCATCTCGCTTCGTGGCGTCCCAGCAGGACAGCTGCATCTGCTAATATTTTTTACCAATTAGCATTTTGCAGCAGGTGGGAGCTTTTAAGACGAGCTGAGGAGTAAGATTAATATGCAGGAAGTGGAAAACAGATCTTTCTTTACGTCAGTCAGCGGCATAGCTCAGAAGATTTAGACAAACCCAAACTACAAAAAGTTCATAAGTTCCCTCTAGGCATCATATACCATTCTTATAACAGTTTTTGGAGGTTTTTTGTCTAATTTTCGACATTCTTTTCTTGTCATAAAGGTTACTGTGCATGTGTTGTACCTGTCTTGGCGTGACCACAGGTGCCAAATGGGGCTGGAAGGTGCTGCGTCGGTCCGTGATGGGGCTTCCATGTTTAATCGGCGGTATCTCTTCATCTGTAAGTGGGCATAATTATAAAATCTTGTTATCGGAAATGGAGCAGGTGCCGATTTAAGTGAGCTATACCGTTTGCCTGATCCAGGAAGAAGTGGGTTTTCTCTGCACTTTCCCTGAGAACAAGCAAATCAGGTACGTCTTCGTCGTCTCCCACGTCCTCCTCGGCAGTTACGTTCACTTTTTCTTCTTGAATGACTACAGAGGAATAAAATAAACGCAAGGTATTAATATGAGCATAAATGTGGGGGGGGGGGAGGGGGGGAGAATCCCATTATAATTAGCACAGTGATTGTTAATGCTAAGACAGCTGACAATCTATTCTGGGATTATTTATGCAAAAACATAGAGCGATCCAAATGTATTCACACCGCTAAAACAAATTAGTAATTTGTCACAATCCGGCTGGAGACTTTAACGTGTTTTGTTTGGGTTTGGTGTGACGGACCGACGCAAGGTAGACCTCAACTGAGGTAGAGAGAGATCCATGGTTTAGTTTCAAACAATTAACATTTGAAAATATTTGGCATGTTTTTTTATTTTACCTGTAACACTCTGATATCCCAAAATAAAATCATACAAAACTCTGCACTCAGGCGCGGTCAATAATGCTCGTCTAAGAGCTGCAGCAGTCCTAATGGCGGAGAAACACTACAGGGAAAGTGTTTATCCACTGTCATTGTTGGCCATGCTAAGTAGCGTTAGCATCCACACCAGGCTCTGGTGTGGCAAAGAAAATGCAACATAGCAGAGAAAAAAGGGGAGGGTCTGAGCAGCATGTACACGAGCTCGATTAATAGCGCTAAAAAAACATCAACAAAAAAACACTCCTACTGGCTCCGATTGGTTGTTTCTGACCAAGCGGTGCATTTCTGCAGATGGCTGTAGGACCACAGGGAGCAGGCAGAAGAGTCTGGTTGTTTTCACAGATCATCTCTCGTGTTAGACCGTGAACTTGCATACAGCCCACAGTTTTCAGATTTGTATTTATAGCATACTGCCGTACTTTGTGTAGTTTTATGCTGCAGGGATGAAGCAGTGCCAGTACTTCTGCTAGCGGCCTTGTGCAGTTTGGATCTAACCGCAGCATGAACGGTGTGATTTCTCCAAAGGCTCCGCTGCTGACAGCTAATATCACATTGATTATCCTCATTGTCTCCATGGGGTTTTCTACAAAGAAACATTGAGATGTTGGAAAACAAGTCCATTTATGAGATATGTGTTTCTCATTCTCAACAAACCCCATGAAAACACGAAAAGTGACAGTTAATCAGCCCGACCTCCTCCCGCTGTTCCCCACAACTCATTTAAAGCTTCTGGCCGCAGATGTGCTTCTCATTTCTGAAGGTGGAAATGCCACACTGCGATCAAGTAATGCTACTTAAAGAAAAACTGAAAAAAAAAACTAACTGGCACTGATTTAAAGTGTGGATTAACACCCAATTGCAGCGCAGTGCAAATGTGTGACTCGCCAACATGCTATTAACACGTTTTTGGAAGACATTCAAGGGCGCAGGAAGGAAGATACAAATGCAACATTATCATAAAAAGCATGTACCTTTCAGGAAGAGAAAATCTCCCAAAACAGAGGTCAGAAAAAGAAGGCTGCACATGGCCTGGCATGCATAATAGGATGCATTAATGCACGAGTATTAAAACTTGAGGATAAAGAACACGCAGACATGAGCATTAATGCCATTCATCTGCCCCTTTTTAAGTAAACGCTGCTAAAACTTACACGGCCACCAGGAAAACAGGAAATGACAAATGTGCACTGCAGATCTTCTCATGTTTACTCCCATAGTGAAAGGCTCAGTATATCTTACAGTGTAATCAACACACACACGAGAGGGGGAGAGAGAGCGCACCCAACAGAAACACACACAAAGCCAAAATCCATTAAAAGTTAGTGGGTTTCATGTTCAGTTGAACAAATATTTGTTCTCCAATGTTTGGTTTTTTTTTCCCTTCTGCTGCTCATCGTTTTGCTTCAGTGTGGCCTGATTCATCCAAAAAACTTCATCATCAAAGCCTTTATATTCCTCCTCACTTTTCATGTGCCGTGTCATTTCTTCTGCCTTTTTTCATTTTCTTTATTTTTCTGTCAAATGTGCAGCTTCGGCCTTATCGCCACTCCTTCCTCTCTCTCTCTCTCCCACCATGTGGCTGTCATTTGGATGAATAAGCCAACAGTCCCACTCCTGGACTGAAGGGCTGCGACCAGTTACACATGAATCACTGAAAAGATGACTTACGACACAGCACAATGGGGAGGCGGGCTCCATTTGTTTTTATTATCTGGCTTGTAGCTAAAAAGCCAATGTTCTGTAGGAGCACGGTGTCAGATAACCGAGACAGAGGGAGGAGAGACTGACACCCAGAAACACGCCTCGTTTAGCAGGTGAAGCCAGAACTGAGGAGCCTTTTCGTGTCGTGCTTTCTGCCAGGGAAAAGGCTCCACCGAGGCAACCGGGTGCATTATGAAGATACGGATCTTAATTCAGTGAAGTCACTCAAAGCGCAGAGCATTTTTTTTTTTTTTTTTTACAAGGGCTTTGTGTTTGCCTTTAGATTCTCACAGGAAATATTCGTCAGTGAGGAAGGAAGCCGAACGCAGGAGGGAGGAGAACCTAGATCAGGCTTCACCTGAGACTTGGACGGATCGAAAGTGATTATTTCACGTCTAATAAGTTTCAAATGTGCATTTTATGTGGCTAAACGGTGAGAAGTTACTTGTAAGTTAGTGATGCACACAGATATTTGCACTGGACATTAGTCAAAAATATGCGGTATGATTTTGTGCAACAAGACAGATATCAAATCAAAACAAATTAGCCAAGAAATTATGAAGAGAAACATGGACTTCATCCAGTAAGTGTTTGTGCTTACTGTAGAACAAAAACACAGAGAAAAGCAAACTTTATTCTTCAACTCTACTGTTGTGAACTACCAATCGTTGTGCACAATGGGACATAAACTCCCATCAAAACACATTACAGTCTGTGGTTATTATGTAGGTAAATGACCTGAGAGAATTTGCCCCCCCACCTTCTTCAAATCAGACAAAATTGGCGTCAAACATTTCTGCATCAAACATTTTTTTATTTGCGCTGCTTTGGCTTTGCAGATATTAATGAAAGGTCAAAGGTCAAAAGGTCCCCCCCCAGTACCCCACTTTTACATGGGTGTAGAGGGGGTCTGCAACAATTTGTTGCTGCACAAACATTTGACACCAATTTTATTTGATTTCATAAAATCAAATAACCTTTTGACCTTTGACCTTTCATTAATATCATCAAAGCCAAAAGCAGCACATACAAAAAAAAAAAATTGCAGCACAAACTGAGTCGAGTTGATTGATATCCATTTTGTCTGATTGGAAGAAAGTTGTGGGGCCGGTTGACCTTTCATGACCTCTAGAAACATTTCTTTATATTTTTAAAATGATAGCGGCACAAACAGATATTTTTGCTGCACTGTTTTGACAGGAATTTTGTCTGATTAGAAGAAGGTGGGGGGGGAAGGGAGGAAGCGCTCAGAGTAGCATGAAGCCGGCTCCGCCATCAAGCCATTTGGGAGCCACTTATAAAGCGCTCACCGACCTGCGGGCTCATAGCACGCAACTCATTTCTCGCACACCTCACCTGGTCCCGAGCTGTGGGATTTTTCCACGAGAAAGTCTCTGACTCTTTCCACCCACAGGTAGAGGATGCTCTCCCCCACATGCTCCCTGTTGAAAATTAAATAGTCGCATGTGAGGGCGGAAGCTCAAAATCACACACAGAGACGGGCGCCCTGCGAGAAAGAATAATGAAAGCTTTTGTTGTGACTAATATCGCCGCGCAGCATCTCCTTGTGAAGTCAGAAATTACGAGAAAAGCACTCACACGTAGATGTCTTCCAGGCTGTTTGCCAATTTGGCCCTCTCGGAGCCTCGCAACCACGCGGCACTAGAAAAGCCGAGAACAAACAGAGGGTTATTGAGTGGGACGCGGAGCGGGCTTTTGAGTGGGACGTTGTTCTTTCAAATCAGCGGGATCTCCTCCACATTAAATGACAAAAGAAGCCAAATAACCTTACTTGATCTGATAGATGGGTGGGGCTGCACTAGGATAATCGGGTGGAAGGATTATCTGATCACAGTGAGATGAAAATAACAGTTTTAGAACAAGCTGAAACGCTTGAGATTTTGTTTTCTCCTCCCATTTTCAACCTGCAAGCACGCTGTCAGTTTCTGCTCCTCGGCGTCGCTGGATATTTTGATGCAGAATATCCTGGACGCTTCGTCTATCACACACCACTCGTCTCCGTAGATAGAAGACAAAGCTTCGACCTCTTCCATCTGAATGAGAAAAATCCAATTAGAAAGCAAAATAATTACAAAAAAAATAGTCTAAGAGTCTTCAAAGTTTAATCCCTGGTTAATCCACGCTGTGATTACAGAATTTCAACAAGTGGAGGGCTTTAAAATTCTCACAGTACAAACTGTTTCCAGCAAAATGGATAAAAGGGAGTGATGCCCAATTCCTCACAATGCAGAGCTGGACAGAATCATAAGAGAAACAGGTAACTCTCAGACTGAGCCATTTTATTCCTATCTACTTTAAATTTATATTTGTAAAACAAAAACATTTAAGGCTGAAACATTTAATCAGATTAATCGTGATTAACCGATTATTGAACTATTCAACTAATTTAGGAATCGATTACTCATTAAATCGAGATACAGATTCAAAAGAACGGCCATTTGCTAAAAGAGCGACATCCTCAGAGCAATAATGACGCCAAAACTGTACAAAAATAAAAAATATTTTTTTTACTTTAAATGAAAAAAAAAAACATTAATCAAGTGGCATAGTTTTAGTTTCACTCGCTTCAAATTCTGTAAAAAACAACAAAAAAACGCAAAACCTTTTCCTATTCAATTATTAATAATGTAGGATAAAAAATACAAATATTAGCTCAGCACTATATTAATCCTAAGTCAAACCGAGAGAGCTGAGCTTTTCACAGCTATTCAGACATATGTTGCATCAATCCACCTCATCAGCTGACTGGGCAGATCAGCAGATTGTGAGTCCGCTGGGCTAACATTCAGACAACCACAAGACCAGGAGAGCACAGGGAGGCGTACCATCTGTACAACTGTCAGTCTGACCAAAATGAAAATCAAAAGCTTCACTCAGTTCCTGGTGGAGTCACACCAGACTCACACCAGATCGAGGATTCCAGCTTATCAGGTGGATTCATACAGTGGTGTGAAAGAGTGTTTCACACCAAAAGTTGACTGATTTGGAGGTTGATTATTCATTACAAGAGCAACAAAAAAAAAAAGGTGTTAAAATTGTACGAAGAAGAGAATCACTCAGGACCTTCATCCATTTACAAGGAGCAGTTTTCTCTGCTTGGACCAAAGTTAAAGAGGAAACTTTGGTTTCCTCTTTAAGGTGCAAAAAAGAGCATTTTTGCATCTTTGTCACACTTTGGTGTTTCAGAATATCAAAACAATTTAACACAACACAAAATGCAGTTTTTAAATGGTACAGTTCATTATTAAAGGAGAAAAACCCTGAAACCTTCATGGCTCTGGGTGGAAAAAGTGACTGATTGGCTGCAGGTTAGATTCAGTTGGAGGTCAGAAGTGTGATCAGGTCACTTCTACAAGAACGCTGATTGAATACATTCAATTTGCAATGGCAAGCAAATGCATGTATACTTATACTTATTATAAGCATATGAAGGATGAATTTTATGAAAAGCATGGTAAATTGGAAGAAAAACAAGCAAAATAAAACAGCTGATCGGTGACCTAATGTGATGTCACCAGAGGTATCTGGAAGCTTTTTTTTTTTTTTTTTGAGAAGGCATGCTTTTATTTTGTTGATTAAATTATCATATTTACAGAAATAGCAACATGAATTGACTGATATTTAGTACTGTACACCATGTTCCAAATTATTATGCAAATTGGATTAAAGTGTCATCAAGATTACATTTTTTGTTGCAGTATTAAATTTATGGTTTGTACAGATAAAGGCATAATGAGGAAGGTTTCTGTTAGACAAATTCATTGGATTAAGAGAGCAGCTGTTAAAATGCCCTTAAAAGCAGCAAATAGTTATCAGAAGCTGCTGGTGTCTCTGAAACCTTAAGATGGAGGATCCTCCAGAGGCTTGCAGTGCATGAACCGACTATTAGGCCCCTAACCAGCTCACAAGCAGAAACGGCCGCAGTGGGCCCAGCTGTACATAAAGATTCATTTTCAAACAGACTTGTTCACTGATGACTGCTGTGCAACCCTGGATAGTCCATCTGGACCATCCACTGGGTCCCAACACGGCTGTGACGTCAGCAAGGAGGTGGTGGAGTCATGCTTTGGGCTGAAATCATGGGGAGAGAGAGAGAGCTGGCCGGCCCCTTCAGAATCCATGACGGTGTGAAAATGACCTCAGCAGAGTATATGGACTTTCTAACTGATCACTTTCTTTCATGGTTCAAAAAGAAGAGCCGTAACTTCAGTACCAAGATCCTCCTCATGCATGACAATGAATGCTGCAAGGAATACCACTGTGTCATTGGCTGCTATGGGCATAAAAGTGGAGAAACTCATGGTGTGGTCACCATCCTCCTCTGACCTCTGACCCTATTGAGAACCTTTGGAGTTTCCTCAATCAGAAGATCTGAGGGATGAATGCAGTTCATATCAAACCAGCAGCTCTGGGAAGGTTTTCTGATATCCTGCAAATAAATTCAAGCAGAAACTTTCCACAAACTCACAAGTTCAATGGATGCAAGAATTGTGCAGGTGATATCAAAGAAGGTTTCCTCTGTTGACATGTAACTCATCTGTTAAGATGTTTGAAATAGTTTTGATTTTACTGCATGTGACCACTTAATGCTGCACATTCAAAGAATGATCGTTTGCAGTTCTTTATAATCCATAAAATGTTTAGAAAATCTGCTGTGCATAATAATTTGGAACAGAGCATTTTGAGTTTGTTATTTTTGAAAGAAATACTGTTCTCATGGGGAGCTTTGTTCAGTAAAATTAGATTTATACTGTAATAGTTCATGACTTGAAAACTATACTGACCATGTCCATTTAAGAGAATCTGAGAAAATATCACTTGCATAATAATTTGGAACATGGTGTATAAGTGATAAACTTTCAGTAAATAAATTTAATGGATTTTACAGATAATCTGGTTTGGGGCTTTAAATGATTTCGAGCCAAAGTTGCAGTGAGTCCCTCTGCTTCTTTTATCAATATGATCATCACTTCCAGCTCCATGCAGCCAACCTGCAGCAGTTCCTGTAAAACTCTGCTTTCTTCACTCTGTCTCTTACTTGAGCCTGCAGATCTTCTTCATTCTCTGGATTTATAATATCCGCCATGAATTCATCTTGATAACCCTGGCCCCGCTGGGAAAACGTATCATTCAGCGGTAAGGCTCATGACAACACGAAGAATGAGATTCGCAGTCCGTGAAGAACAACTTCCGGGGTAAAGTGGCTCCACAGGCTGCTGGCATTCTGACTTCCGGTTTCTACCGTCACTTTGTGAGTTTAAAGAAAACAATGAAACGAGGCACAACATACTAAGAGTAAGTCTTCTATTGTGTCGCCAGAAAATATTCACATTTCTCACCTTATATTATGTTTTTTTTAACGGGTCTTCCTTTTATTTTGAAAGGCCCGGTCGGCTGACTTCCGCCGAGGCGCGGATCAGCTGATCTCAGCGTAAACAGTCAGCAGTGACAGAGCTGTGAGTGTAAAGGAAGCGTCACTGTGACACATATTTGTCCGCGTGCTCCGTCAGGGCGGCCAGAAGACAATAAATGAGAAGTTGGCGTCTGTCAGCGAGTGAAAGCGGGATGCGCCGGAGGCTCTTCGCCGCGTTGTGAAGTAGGGCAGCAGGAAGCTCACCGAGGGGCTTTGAACGTCACATGCAGCTCCACGGTGGGCCCCTGTTACAGAAGCTGCTGGATTTTAACCCACGGGACGTGGACACTGTAAGTCTTGACTTTTTCCGTGCACAAATGCGAGTTCAAATCACATTAACACTAAAACTATCATTGCTTGTGTGTAAATAGATTTTTATGTCCTTTAAATTCCACTTGAAAGTAAATTATTTGAAGTTTTAGCACCCAAGTGTCCTGTTTTATTATTATTGTTTATTTTATTTTATTTTTTTCTTTTGTTTATTATCGAATAAGTACAGTAAGTAGTGCAATTGGATTTTTACTGCTTTAGGACTGGGCACCTCTTGAAGGTTCACAATGACAATTTTAACTTGAGCTTTTCTGGTTTCATTCCAGATTATCTTGTCTTATAGCACAACATGGTGATGAGTGTCATCTTGAGGCATTTTACAAGTGTAATTTACATCCAGTTTACAAACGCATAATAAAATCAATCCAACAATGTATAGGCAGATTCAAATTCAGCGACATGCTTATAATCCCAGTTGTGAAGCAATGTAATCAAATTCAGTTTAAAATGTAAATAGGTGAAACTTTCTTGATCTGCAGACTTTACAGCAATCTATCCTCCACTACGGCAAGCATGACACGACAGTAGCCAGGAACAACTCGGTTTTAACCAAGAAAACCGAGTTAATAATAATAATAATAAACTCAATCTGAGCCTGGAACTGAGAGGGTAGAGCAAAAAACGATGCAAATTTTGTTGGAAATAAAGTCTACGGTGTGTTGAAGATGCTGGAACAAATTTATGTTATGTTGTCTTTTTTATGAGATTGAAGAAAGAGTGGCTGAGTGATTTTTAGAGTTGAGTTTGTATGTGTTAACACACTGACACCATGTTATTGTTTTTACTCAGGTTATCATGTTGTGAGAATGTCACACCGATCCATGTCTACTTCACATATTTCTAGCATAAATATCCATCAGCATCAAAAATTTCTTATTTATTTTGGCAATAAAGATCTGAATACCAAAATACGTGTTTTCTCACAGCCCTATATTTCACAACCAGTGGTCCAAAAGAGTAACTTATGCAATTTTCAGCTGGCATAGTTTTTCAAAATGCCATTAAGTAACAAGAGCAAGGAGGAACAGTAACCTTAAATCCTACAAAAACCTTGAGAAAATGTGTTTTCTTTTTTACTGTGCCCAGGTGCATCTAGGTGCCATTTGAATTATTCATTTGTTTGCCATATTGAGACAAAATGAAATCGTTTTCTTCTGAGAACACAGACTAACACTAAGAATATAAAGTATCGTAAGATATCAGCAATCAGGTCGATTTAAAAAAATTTTTTTATTTACTCATAGAACATTTTATTAATTAGCAGAATAAACGCTGGGGGGACAATTTAATTATTGCTATTAATTAAATAGTGTAAACAAAAAATGCCTTTTTTCATACAGTGTACCCTGTCTTTTGTAAATCCAGGAATAGCAGGGAATTTTACGGGGGTTTTACTGACATTGATACACTTTAAAGATAGAGTGTGAGACAATCAACTAGTCATCTGGTCACCTGCTTTTCAGGCCCAGCTAAACCTGTTTCTGAGCCACACGCCAGTTTCCTGCAGAAGACAAGCTGCAGCATCTTAATAGTCTTATGTTGACTACGTGATTTATTGATCCCTCCACAGACCCACATGACATATCGAGACATCGCCTTGTGAGCACCTTCCTTTTTTTTTTTTTTTTTTTTTCTTTCAACAAATCATTTCAAGATTTGATGCCAGCAATAGGGGTGGCATGTGCACATGTTTTTTTTTTTATGGAGGAAAGAAAAGATCTGCCTCTTTCCTGTAAGGCTTGGCTAGTCAGCTTCCTTTAGAAAAAAAAAAATCCATGCTCACTTCTCCTTGCTTTCTTAATTTCCGAGAAAACAAAAGCCCTTGTGACTCGTTTGTCACATGACCCCGCGCTGACTGACTGGCTAAGTAATGTGAACTATAGGGGAGGCTGTGCAGCAATTTAAAATGCCCAGTCTGATGGTAGTAAAGCATACTTTTCACTTTATTTCAGTGAAAGTGTGTTGCAAATATTTCCTCATAAAGTCACTTGATGAGCTGCGGGGATATTTGTATGGAGAGAAAATCGTCTCAGCATACCTCTACTGTCTTCTATCTGTTTATTTCATTTTATGCTGGAGGCAAAAATCAATCGACCAGATATTAGCAAGTCAGATACTGTTAAACTCTGATTTCTTTCATGTACATTGAATCTATCGCAACTACGAATCCCCACCATTTCAGTAAATCAATGCATCAACCAGCGATTGCTTCTTTAAAGCACTTTTATACACTTTTTAGTGCAGCAGAAGCGGTTTTGACAAATGCAGATATCTTTTTAGTACATTCAGCACATTTCTTTTCTGTTTTTTTGCTTTAGGAAAATCACTAGAATAAGTTACAAATCTCAGGTATCAGAAACTGAACGTTCGTATTGGGCAGGAAATGTCAGGATTGGTGCACCTTTAATTTTCTTTAAGGGGCTTTTGCGCCCTTCAAACACACGCAGGCGGTTGAAAGGCGACCATGTTTACCTGCACATTTGAACACAAAACATGACCACTTTATTCTCTTTGCCAGGCACGGTAGTTGTGGTTTGGCTTTGTTTTGACATTACTCAACCTGTATCCATTGAGCATTACCAATGACCTTCACAATCCAGCATTTTCTTACAGCAGCTAAAGCCTTTCCAAAATTGGGTCATGTAACAGGACTTTGATCCTCAAGTGCAACAGCTGAACAAGATAGGTGGCAAAGTGTAGCAGTCTTAGATGAAAGCCAGGCTGGCTGAAATGCTGGGGCAGCATGCTTAAAGAGAGGAACAGAAACAAAACCCAGAAAATTTTAGCAAACTAAGGCTACTTGTTTGATAAGGAGTGATTAAGATCCACCTCAAAAAGACGTGACAGACTGATACGTTTATGAAGAAATCATGGCATTGGACAGTTTCCGCTTATCTTTTATTGTTATTAAATAGCTTTCCATGTTCCATTACGGTCAGTCTTTTAAAATCTCCCACTCAGTCCCATTTATTATGTAGCCACAGCTAATTCCCAACCTTTCTGTTTTTCCCTGCAGGGCTCCATGGAGGATCTGGAGCCAGAGGAGCGGTTCCTGCAGTGCGCCCGGAACGGGGATCTGCCTGGGGTTCAGGAACTCCTCAGGTCCTCCACAGCGGCAGAGAGGCGGATTAATATCAACTGTAAAGGTGTGTGACTAACACCTGGGTGTAGTTTTGGTTACAGTGTTGCTGTTGAACTCAATTCAAGTATGTCCTGTTTTTCATTTCAGGTCAAAGCAAGTCTAACTTGGGATGGACGCCTCTTCACTTGGCTTGTTACTTTGGTCACAGAGATGTGGTGGAGGAGCTCCTCAAGGTGGCATTTCTTTTTTTTTTTTATTTTGAAGATGAAATGTTAAACGGCTACACAGATGACACATATTTTCGCTCACATCCTGCAGGCGGGAGCAAACGTGAACCTGCCCAACAACATCGGAGACACAGCGCTGCACAAAGCTGCGTTCACGGGGAGAAAGGTGCATTGTAAAAATATTCCCCCTCTATAGAGGTTTTTTTTTTCCAAATTAAAAACTTTACACCACTTTGTTAAATGTAATTTTAAATTTTTTTTGCATGCGTTCATTCGTTCATTCATTTCCTGCCAAACCAATCAATCCATCACATATCAATCAGGAGGTTGTCATGCTGCTGCTGCACTATGATGCATGTGCTGCTGTCATCAACGGCTCGGCTCAAATTCCCAAAGACGTCACTCAAAACGCAGAGATCAGAAACATGCTGGAAGGTGAGAAATACATCTTGTCATTCTGAGAGTTACCATGGAGACTTGCTTTCAGTTTTTTTTTTCTTTTTTCCACGCCGGCTTGTTTGTCGTCCATTCACACAAACTATTTATGCCGCTTATATCCTTCGTTTTCTCCCGTCGCGTGGCGGATGCCAGCTGCCGAAAGAACAGAAGAGAGGAAACTGGAGGAGAAACTTCTGGAGGCTGCGAGAGAAGGAGACCTATCGACTCTCACTCAGCTGGTCGGTAAAAGACGCTCCTCGCATCCGTCCGGGCGCACACAGACCTGAGGCCCGAGTCCCGCGTGTTTTCGTACAACTTTAAGGCAACATTAAAGATGCTGCACTGTTAGAGGCGCAGATGAAAACAGAAAGCATCAGATTACTCATCTGAGGATGACATGAAATCAATCGACACAATTTAGTATATCATTTTGAAGAAAAAGAAATGTTCTCTCATCTGAAAATACAAACATCCTTTGTTTTTATTATAATCCGGGGCACGTGCCAAACCCGAGGTCCACGGGCCAGAAGCTTGAACATGGCACCGCTAGACTCTAGAAATAGAAACTTTGAGCTAAGAGTGTGCTTAAATGTTATTTTATCAATATTATGTTATTTTATCTTTTACAGGATTTAGATCTGTGAACTGAGATTTCCTTGGGAGGAAAAGAATAGACAGCTTTTGTGTCTGGT